TCTTCAACTTTTTTCTTCTTCTTCGAACATTAATATCTAAAAAAAAGAAAAAAAAAATTAGTCAATTAATTATAAAAATACATACCATGAATTCATTTAATTATAAAGCAACGTGAAAAAAACAACAAAATAATATTACAACAACATTAAGCAACATAAAGGAAACAATAACAATTTTGAGAAATTTTAGTGTCACAGAATTGTGGCCACATAAACAATCTACATCTCAAATTATTCTAGTAAGAAAAGAGAAGAAGTGTTTCTATAAATTTAGTTTAGTATATGTCAAATGAATTTAGTTCAGCACATATCTATCTATTCTAATTATTAGCACCATTGAAATGTAAGAAAATAAGAAGAAGAAAATTGGAAGCTCTGACGAAAAGAAGAGTAACTGTCAGATACTAAAAAGTCGTGCCGCTTAAGAAAATAAAACAAATAAAAACTGCCCAATTTAAAAGATAAGTGTGTCATTTCAAAGGGTACAAGTGTAAAAAAAAAGGAGTAACATTGTCTAAATAGGGAGTGGGAATTTTAATGTAAAATGTTTAAAGAGAAGGTTGGGCGGTGTCATTAATTCCTACATAACCCATCAACACATTATCAGCTTATATTTGTACCAATCAAACCCAATCCTCCTTTGAAATCTTAAAAAAACCCTAATAACTTTCATTCTCCTCTCCCTCCGCCGCCTCAACCGTCGCCGGAGGCCAGTTCCATTCGCCTATAGTCCATCATGCCGAAGGTGAAAACGAACCGGGTCAATTATCCAGATGGTTGGGAGCTGATCGAGCCCACGCTCCGCGAGCTGCAGGCCAAAATGAGGGAGGCCGAGAACGACCCACACGACAACAAGAGAAAATGCGAGGCCCTTTGGCCGATTTTCAAGATCGCGCACCAGAGGAGCCGTTACGTTTTCGATCTCTACCACCGGAGGAAGGAGATCTCGAAGGAACTGTACGAGTTCTGCCTGGATCAGGGGTACGCCGACCGCAACCTGATCGCGAAGTGGAAAAAGCCCGGCTACGAGAGGCTCTGCTGCCTGAGGTGTATGCAGCCTAGGGACCACAACTTTCAGACCACTTGCGTCTGTCGAGTCCCGAAGCATTTGCGCGAGGAGAAGGTCGTGGAGTGCGTTCATTGCGGCTGTGGGGGCTGCGCGAGTGGAGATTGAGGATCGTGTTCCGAACTGGTAAATGTAGATTTTCATCATGGAATATTTCAATTGTGTTGTTTTTTTCAAACATTCACATATCCTTTGGTTTGTGTTTAGGAGTTTGAATTTGCATTTTGAAAAGGTGACATTTTTTTTTTCTTTTCTTTCTTGTTATTAGACTGAAAGCTTGGTTTTGAAAAATCATACTGTGTGAATTTATTTTTAGAATGCATCTGAGTTGAAGGGAAAATGGTGGTATTGGTAGTAATAGTAATCTGTTAAATATAAACCAAAAGAAGTAGTAACTTGGGCACCACATGAACTATCTAAGCATTGTAATTTAAATCTATTTTCAATCTTTATATTGGTTGGACTAGTGTTGAAAAATGCTGGTGACGAAAAGAGTATCGGCAAGAGCTGCAACAACAAAAAATGCGCATCCATGGGAGTAGCCGTGGTGTTGTTGTTGCTATGATGAGTGTGCCAATATGCTAATCTGAGGCTTTTTTTTTACATAGTTTCAAACGATTTATTTTATTTTGTTGATTTGTCTTTCAGTGCACTATTTTGATATAGAAGTTTCGATGTAAGTTGATTTCACATTTTGACAAGAATACTCTTCTTATTTATGCATTGGTTGTAGATTGTAGTAGGAATAAATAGCTATTTGAGATAAACAGTCTAGTTTTGTATAACAATATTTGAGATGGCTTTTGCCCTTTGTGTTTCAAATGCTTGGTTTTTTTTTTTTTCGAAATTCGATTTCTGTTTCTTACAAATTTCTGTTGATTTCTTATGGTTGCAGTTTGCTATGAAAGTGCTGTTTGGTTCTTGTGTACATCTTGTGTAATATGGAGTGTTCAGATATGATACAATTGAAGTTTGTACTTGTGTGGTCTCCAAGTAGATATTCTCTTGGTCCTTCTATTTATTGGGGGCTGTACAATCGAGCATGAAATGATGTTTATTTGATCCTCCCTTTGAAATTGACCTACAAAAATGTATTGCAGATCTGCTGCTTGTTTATGTGAGGTAGATCAAAGTTGCCCTTGAAATGAAATTTCTCTACTGAATTTTGGTCTCATATTCTTGTAAGCATGGTATTGAAGCTGATGAGATGTGGGGACGTTCAGTTTGCTGTTTGCAAGTACGCATGATGTGTATCATCGACACAACAAATCAATCGGCCACATGTTTAGCCGTATTTCTTTTTCCTCTTCCAAACTAGGGCTGCAAACGAGTCGAGTCGAATATTGCTCTTATCAAGCAGGATTAGTTTTTTTTTTTTAGCTGCTCGAGCTCGTCGAACTCGATTTACAAGGCTCGAGCTCGACTCAATAAAAAAATTCAAGCACACGAGCTCGACTCGAAATCAAAATGCTCAAACTTGACTCGAAATTTTAAGTGGAAAAATAAAATTTCCATTAAGCACTTATGCTATACTATTGTAATATATATATATATATATATATATAGAGGATATTTTAGAGGAAATTTTTTATTTTGTTTGGAGGATATTTGTTTATGGAAATTTTTGATTTTGTTTGGATTTTTTGGTTTTGTTTGGTTAATTTTGAAAAAGGTGGTATAGTTAGTTGTTAGTGGATATATTAAAATAATATTTAAAATAAAATAATTAAAATGATTTGATATAAAAGTAGGAGAGAGATAGTTTGATGTGATGGTTAGTTAAAATAATGTGAGTGGATGAATAGTGAATTAAGGTTGATGTGGTGTATGAATTATTGATTGATATTATTTAATTATATTGATAATATTCATGATAGTGGGGTTGAGTTAAAGTTGAGTTAAAAAAGTGGTTGAGTTAAAATTTGGGAAATTTTTTAAAAATTTCCATAAACAAACATGCTCTTAGTAATTCAACATATATATCGAGCCGCTTGACAACCCAAAATATGGGTTCAAGCTCGACTCGAGTTCGGTCAAACTCGAGTTCGAGTTGAACGTTGACTTGAGTGCTCGCGAGCGATTTCCGATAAGACAAATAAATAACGAATAAATAACAAATAAAAATAGGATTATGTAGTCAAAGAGGAAAAGAAAACAACTAAAACACAAATACAAAGCGATGAAACCTCGGTGGAGAGTTGTGTTTTTATATGGAAAACCTCCAATGAAGAGTAGGGGTGTGTTTTGTATATGGAAAAACTCAATGCATATTTAATTTATACTTGAAATATAACTTAATTTTAACTTAATTTCACTATCTTCAATATAATTAATATAATTAAATAATATCAATCAATTATTTTTATACATCCCATCAATTTTAGTTTATTATTCATCCACAAACATAATTTTAACTATCACTTAACTATATCTCTCTCCTAAAAGTTATACCAAAATCTATCTCCTTTGGCTAGATATGGCCACGGGATTGGCCCGACCTGTGGACTGGCCCGGAACTGGCCAGCCCTAGCCGGTTTTTGAACCGGCCCATAACTCTTTAAGGGCCAGTTACGGGTCATGTTGTACCCATTTTTTACTCGTCGGGTTGGGTCGGACCGGTTCCGGGCCTGTTTTTTTGACAAGTTACGATTATTATTTTATTTTAGTTTTCTATTTTTTTAGAACCAGCCCTTAGATATAGGCGGGTCGGTTACGGGTCTAAGATTTAAGACCCGCTGCCTCGGCGGCCCCGGGCCGTGAACCGTCCGGGGCTTTGGCCACGTCCACCTTTGGCCTCTACTTTCCGAACGAAAGTTAGGCAGGAATTGAAGAACCAATTTCCGAATATGTCAATGATGTTGCCATAAATCAAAAAATAATTTTGCTAAAAATAGAAATTAAAAAATAAAACATAAAAAGTGTTAAACTAAATTAATGAAGAAGATGATAGTTATAATAATTTTATTAGCATTAATTATAGTATAATTTAATTTATACCTCTTTAGAGGCATAAAATTCAGCCAGGCATTTGATTGGAGCTATGACAGACTCCAAATCTTCACAAACGTTCGACATAAAGGACCCCATATATTGGCTTGACGAATCACTAGACTTTATGTGTGCGGTGTACCTTTTTATTCAAGAAATTTAATTTCGAAAAAAAATATGTATTTTGAATTGATCAAGTATAATATCAAACAATTAGAAATTATAAAATATATATATATATATATATATATATATATATATATATATATATAATTTTCAGTACCTTTCTTTGAAATCCAAAATTTCGGGAACTTCACCCGCTATCACCTTCGTGGCATCAAATATGTTTTCAACTTTTATAGACCCTAAAATACAAAAATAATGGAATAACAATAAAAATGGTTAGATAAATGAAAAATATCAAATCGAAGTGAAGAATATAACATCTTCAAAAGTCTTTGCTCGACAAAGTTGTAAAATGACTACACACAATTTATTAGGAGAAGAATTGTTGAAGGCATCAAGAATGATGTCCACATATCCCCCATAATCTGCAAGTTAAACGGCAACCCCTAAAAATATCGTGTCCATTATGTTATGCACGATTTGATTATACATAAGGAGATTTTAATATCATAGAAAATCGTAATTACTTAAAATATAAATAAGTGAACATGAAGTATAACTTACTCAACATCTTCTAGAACAACATCGATGAATCTTTTTTTAACACCATTTGAATTTGATGTTTGCATGTTTTAGACCATAACTATACACCCAATTAAATCTAAAAAAATAAAACAATATAATTTAATTAATTTGTAGCACAAGAGTAAGAATAATTATAGTAATAAAGAAAAAAAATTACCAAATAGCTTGTTAGAAACAATTGTTTGGGGGGTCGGACAACTCGCTGAAATTTTTAAAGTTAAATATAAACCTCGGGAAGTTATCATCAACAATCTCGATCATGTTTGTCTCTTCACTTAAAATCAAACTTATGACTTGATTCGGTTATTTTGAAAGCATTTTTGTCCAGCACACGCTGCCAATTTGTAACCCCGTACACGTCCTTCAAGAAGATTAAACTTCTCGAATTTTTGTGCCAAGAAACCGGGTGCCGAGCAATGTATCCGCTGCCCCTAAGAAAAATAAATAAATTAAGATTATTAGCAACATTCCAATTTGTTGTTTGTAATTAAATGAATATTATGACGACTGCATTAAAATTTAAGTACCTTAATATCGTGAAAGATGAACTCTAGCCCACTTATGTTCTCTTTGCTTCACTTGGAAAATCTTGGATAATTTATGACCAATTATAGCTTTGCGGTCATGTTCTTATTTTTTGACAAGTATGTCAAATTATCAAATTGGGGACTCATGTTGATTGTGAAAAAAAAAAAAATAATAAAATTGGAGGATATGAGAATTGCTTGGATCGGTGTACTTTTACCTAGAGTTGGGAGTGTTTTTGAATAATTATTTGAGTATTTATATGTTTTTGGAAAAAAAAGTAAATATTGATTGATTGAATGTTGGAAATAGATTTCTTGATAAAATTTTTTGATTTGACTGACAAATAGAATTGTAATTTTTTTCGCCGCCATTTTCTGATTTTCAACCATATTTTTTTATTTAATTTTAATAGGTATAAAATGTGCAATAATCGTGGGATATTAAAGTTTGAAAAATAAATTCTAGCTAATGCTTTATTCTTTGACCGCCACAAAGAATTGTTCTTTGTTTTGACCGTAAATTTCAAAATCTCTGCCACATTTACTATTGAATCTTAACAGTTATGAAATGTGCAAAATTCATGGGATATTGAAGCTTGGAATTTATCTTGAATATTATCTTTTTTAAAAAATAAAAATGTTTTTTCCCGCCTATTTTCATATTTGGAACTGTTCAATTTGATAATAATAAATAATCCATTTGATGGTATATTATAAGTTGATTTTTTATTTTATTTTATTTTATTATTATTATTAT